GAGACTAAATATAAACATGCAAGTATAAGTACTTCATCCATTTCAACTCATTGTAACAGTACCCTTTGATAAAATACCACTAATTAACACAATTATACATCTTAGGCCAAAGGTTAATTTACCTAAACACACACACACACACACACACACACACACACACACACACACAATCCTAAATGTGTAAACTTATTATGAATTTCATGTTTTATAACAGAAAATATTAAAATTCTTTCTTTAGCCATTTTAAGTTCTAAGATTTCAAGATAATTTATTTTTTACTGTGTGGAAGATTAGTATGATACAAGCTCTAACTACAGTTAAATCTGCCATAATGAAGAAACTATGATCCCCAAAGATTCAGACACATAAAATACAGGTTGAATTACTGTGAGATTAAAATGATAAAGGCAAGCCTGTACAACTAGCTAGTTAGGTCTCCTGTGCAATTCAAATTCATCTGGGCTCAGGCTGAAATTTGGCACCACCTGGTGGCAACTGCCCACTCTAGCCTCAGTATACACCCGATCAATTCTGAGTCCTGTGGCTGGCCGGGGCATCTATACATCAGCCCCAATCCCAGAAATCCCCTGGTTTAGGGAGTGTCTATTTTGATGTGGATAGGGGCCAGAAGAACACTAAAGACAAGGACATCTGCTTTCAGTCTTCCTCCTTCAAGAAATGGCTCTGTTGGCTGTTTCCCCACACAGCCTTATCAACCTATGCCCACCAACCACATTTATGTTACAACGGGATAAACTAATTTGAAGATTTTTTAAGAACTGCAAAAACAGCTAAAAAAATAGAAAATTTTCAAAATGATTACATGCCAAAGTTTATACAGTTATGTGAACTGCTTGGGAATAACCACAGAAATTTCCCACAAATTTTAAAGTTATTATATCACTCAGCAAAAGCCTATTAAATCCACAACAGAATTGCACCACAAAATCAACAGTACTAATCTATAAAATAGAAATAATATGATCTATACCACAGGCCTCTCTAATGCCCACAACTTTCTCTTGAGGCTCAGAATCTTCTATAGTCAACTATTTTATTTGGCTATCCTACATACACTTCAAGTAAAACAAATAAATTTATCATGTTTTCCTATTAATGCTTTGTATTTTCTGATGTTTTACAAACTGCATCACTATCGATGCAGCTGTTTAATTCAGAAACCTCACTGACATCCTTAATGAGTTCTCATCCCACCAATCCAACCTAGTCAATGAGTCCTGTTGGTTTTATCTCCTAAACATTTTCCCAACCTGGCCCGTTTCTCTCTTTACTGCTACTAATCCAGTTCCATTATCACCTCTCATCTGGATAATGGAAATAACCTCTAAAAGTAGAGCCTCTTTATCTTATGCCATTCCAATCTATTCTCTACATTGCAGCGATCTTTTAATATAAAAAGTGATATCATGCCTCTTCTTAAAATCTTTTAATTGTTCCCCATAGGTCTTACATAATGGTCCAAATGCATTATTTGGGCCCATTTCCCATTTCTGTTTCATCTCTTATAACCCCCTGCCTCTCAGTCTATCCTTCAGCCATGCCGAATTAATTTGTTTAAAAAACTTCATTTTGTCCTACTTCCAGGTTTTTCATTTTGTCCTACTTCCAGGCTTTTATATATGCTATACATTCATTTCCCCAATTCCTTTCCCTTCCTTAGTTCACAGTATTAAAACAAACTAAATATGGCCTAAGAAGGACTCTGTACTTCTATATTTGAGTCCTTAGGGATGAACTGCAACTTAGCTTAATAGGCAGACAAGATTGAAAACCTAACTTGGGGGTATGCACCTGTAACAACAGCTGAGTCTTGGCCAATCCCAGCAGCCATACTTCAATCATTCCTATGCAGCTGTTTCTGCACCTCATTTCCAATTTCTGTATATCACTTTACCTTTTTTGTCTATAAATTTGTTCTGATCACAAGGTATTCCTGGAGTCTCTCTGAATCTGCTGTGATTCTGGAGGCTGCCTGATTTGTGAATCATTCATTGCTCAATTAAACTTTACATTTAATTTGTCTGAAGTTCTACTTTTAACAGTAGTTTTAGTCAAACAGTAGTTCTTCATTTATGAAGTTTTCTCCAATTCCTCCCAAGGCTAGGTTAGATACAGAGATGGTCTCATCTTTTAGCCTATCAATTGTTCACCACCATCATACTTAGGATAATTGTTTCTCTATTTGTCTTTACCCTCCATTAGACTACCAGCTTTGTGAAGACAAAGGTTACCACTATCTATGACGTCTAGAATTTAGCTGGCATACAGCAGGTTTCAATAAATATTTGCTAAAAACATTAATTTGTTGCTCTGAAAATTACACGAGGGTGCAAATGTAAAACTTTCCAACATAAAACTTAGCATATGGTAGGTGTATATCTCTTCTTTTAGTCTGCATTTTGAATTCTAAGAGTAAGTAATCACAAGGTACAGGATACTCCTTAATGTAGGGCTGAAACCAAATGAAATTTTGTGAAAGATAAAGAATGTCTTTGGAATTCCCTCTCCAATCTCTTAATAACTCTGCTGCCCTAAGCATGTACATTCATAAAACTGTCATACTTTTGTTATGAACATGAAGGGACAACTAAGTGCAAAAACAAATCTTAAAATCATAAGGTTATGTGAAGAAGCCACAAAAAATATATGTAAATATAATTCCATTTATATGATACTAATATAATATGAAAAACTAAATATTGTAGAGAGATGTTTATTTACTGGTAACACAGGTAATAAAAGTATAAGAAGCAAGGAAGTTATTAGCATAACAGAATAGCAGTTATGAAAGAAAGGAGTTAAATAGGAAGAGTCTCAAGGACATTTCTGTAATGCTGCATTGTTCTACTTTTTTATAATTATGTATTAAATAAACATTAGAAAATTTTCTCTGAATATCTGTTATTTTACAAACATACATGCAAACATATATATAGTCAAAAAAAGGGCAATCATAACATAACTAAACTAAAAAATAATGCTATTAAAAGAGTGGTACAATATTTCTTTGAGCTACATGGAACAATATTTTCTCGGGATTCAAGATATGAAGGCCAGCTTAGGACTTCAAAGGCCTTACAGAAAAGATTATGGTGCTCCTACTAGTAATTCGATACTCAAATACTAAAAAACAAAAAACAAAAAACTAGGTATAAAGAAAGGCAGAAGTATTTTTACTTTTCCTAAGATAAAAAATATTATTTTTAAAATTAATATGTCAAAACATTTTTAAAGAATATATAATTTTTAAAGAACATATACATTTGCTGGTGCCCAAAGCATATTTTTAATTTGTCTACTGCTAAGATAGTACTGAATGATCACTTAGAATTTTTATAATTTAAAATTATTTGCCATTTTCATTGAAAATATAATCCTAGACTAAATAAAACATAACTATTTTAAAGCTCAAATAAGAGAAGAATAGAAAAAATAGGTAGAAGAGTATAATCACAAAGTATTTGTTGAATACACAAATGAATAATTTCTTTTGTGTTCAGTGTTTGAAGTTCCTATTAATTTCCTTCAGCCAGGGCCGGGCACGGTGGCTCAAGCCTGTAATCCCAGCACTTTGGGAGGCTGAGGCGGGTGGATCACGAGGTCGAGAGATCGAGTTCATCCTGGTCAACATGGTGAAACCCCGTCTCTACTAAAAATACAAAAAATTAGCTGGGCATGGTGACGCGTGCCTGTAATCCCAGCTACTCAGGAGGCTGAGGCAAGAGAATTGCCTGAACCCAGGAGGCGGAGGTTGCGGTGAGCCGAGATCACGCCATTGCACTCCAGCCTGGGTAACAAGAGCGAAACTCCGACTCAAAAAAAAAAAAAAAATTTCCTTCAGCCTATACTTCTATGCAGATTTTCAAAAAAAGATCAAACAGGTAGATAAAGATCTATGCATGCCACATTTATGAGGCAACTAATAATCTGATTTTTTATGACTTTCTACAAAGTCATATTAAGAAAACATCCTAAAAAAGTTCTGTAATAAATTGTGTATCTACTCCCTTATCACCACAAACATTTTTACCCGAGAACAGAGAGGCCCAAGAACAAAATCATACCTCAGAGGCATTAGCATAAAAACCTCTACCAATCTGCTGTATTAACAATTTAACAGTAATTTAAAAAAACATCTTTGCTAATTTACTACCAAAGGATAATTCTACATATACAGTTTTTATAGTAGTGGTCACCTTACACATACCATATTAATATAGCAGCTTTTTTCTCTGGAATTGAGGGGTGAATATACCAATTTTTCTGCTACTATACTTCTAGTAGAAATGACATGTTACAATGCTATTATAGATTAAGTCTGATTTAAAGCCTTGCTGACAACAATCAAACTATCATATGAGCAAATCAGTGCTGATAAACTAATATCACAATTAAGTCCATTTCAAAATAAATTTCTCATTAAAGTATAATCTTTCCAAAGCCATATTAACTATAATAATGGTATAAAAATAACTGCCACTGAAATAAATAGTGTTTATTTTCCCCTATTTCTGCCAATCACTAACTACGGGAGCCTAGTATTTACTAATCTCTGCATGAATAAAAATGATGTTTCTTCAGGATTACCTAATGTGACATCTTTCAGATCTAGCAGCTAAATGAAGCATATGTAATTCAAATTATTATTCTAGTTTTAAAGTTTCCAGGAGAAATTGTAGGTATAGTACAGGAAGAACTGTTCTCAATCTGAACTGAAGCAAATGAAAAAAGAGAAGTCACGGCGGGGAGCGGGGGGGAGACATAACAGAATACCAGAGCAAAAAGGTTTAAAGTCTAGTAAATCTTGTTCTAAGACTTTAGAACCTTAATGTTCACGTTATATTTAGATTTAGATTTATGACAAGTTTTCTTTAATGTATTAAAAAAGATATTATCTAACAGAAATAGCATTTAATTTCAATAAAGCTTCTATAAACTCCGAAGATAAATATAATACTGCACAAGCATTTTTTTTTTACCTGTTTTCTCGTTCATACATTTCCCTGGAAGCATTTCGAAGTTGATCAATTTCTTGATTGGTTTTCAATCTGATTTGTTCTAGTTCATCATGTAGTTTATTTTCATATTCTGTTTTATAATGGTCTCTGTAATGAATCAAAAGGAAAAGCCATAAATTTTATTTTGAAACAAATAGGCTTTTATACTCTATATAAGATGTTAATATCAGTTATCAAGTATGCTCTATATACTATGTTACTTGAAAAACTTAACTATTGAGTATAAAGTTTGATAATTCCTAAAAATACAATTCCTGACAAGTATGATTTAAGATTTCAACATGTTAAACATTATTTTCCAAAAGACTTACTTACTGTATAAAATCTTAGTAATTCACATTGGATAATTATTCATCTTTGAAAACACTTTGCTAGTAGTTTTAATGCGTATAGCTGAGACTTAAAAATTGAGAATGCCCTTCATTTAGAAATAATAATCTGGTATGGTGGATGTTGAGAGATGAATAATATTAACAAAAATATAAAAATGAAATGACTCTGAGTCTACAAATGCTTTCCTTTCAAGCATGACAACCACAGCCACACGGTGATCTTTTAACAAAGTCAATTACATAGGGTATCAAAAAGTACTACAGGCTTGGAAAAAATTATGAATGTGTGAACTCTTAAAGGTAAAATTTGTTTTTAGTTTTTTTTTTCCTTAAAGGGATAGTGCCTTGCTCTGTCACCCAGGATAAAGTGCAGCGGTGCAATCACGTAACCTCGAACTCCTGGGCTGAAGTGATCTTCCTGTCCCAGCCTCTTGAGTAGGCAGGACATTGTGCCTCTTGAGGAGGTGCTTGACATTGTGCCTTGCTAATTTAAAAACTTTTCTTGTAGAGATAGGGTTTTGCTATGTTGCCTAGGCTGGTCTCAAACTTCTGGTCTCAAGCAATCCTCCTACCTTGGCCTCCCAAAGTGCTGGGATTACAGGCGTGAGACACTGCACTTAGCATGTTTGTTTCTAGTATGTTGATAAGAATAATTCAACATTATCCTCGATAAAAATTATAAAAGCTATTAGTATAAAGGTACTTTAGTAACTTCTACACATCTAATAGAAGAAATAAGGCAGGACTGAAACACAGGGAGTCTGACTCAAGGGTATGTAAGTTAAAATACAATGTAATACCACCTCTTCATAATTCTTTTACATTTCACACAGTTAGGAAATCGTTAGCATACTGAGATTTTCTTCTAAAATATAATTCTATAGAGATACTTTCATACTTTCTTTTAAAAAATACTTCTACAGAGATCTTAGTCATAGGAATTTTAAAAATTCTGTCACAAATAAAAAAATAGTCATAGCATATATCTCTCTAAAAGAAATAGGCTTTTCATATTGTTGAAAAAACCAGTGTCGTTTAAAATATTAACTAGAAAGGAATACCATATAAGAAAATAAAATTAGATATTATCTTATATTGTCCTATAGATCTTAAAAAATCACTATGTTTCCCAAAGCCAACAGTTCCCTTAAAGAGAATATGTTAATTGACATCTATTTATGTGGGAAATAATGTAAATCTTGCCTGGATGTTACATATTTTTCATACATCTCTTCTCTAGCCTTTTTGGTTTCTTCAAGTTGAGCCTGAAGTCTTTCAAGTCGATCCTCTTCATGGGCACAGCGAACACTAAGCTCCATGTTTTGGCGATTGAGATATTCTTTATCCTTTTGCAGTAAAGTAACAGTCTGCTGTAAGGTGGCCACCTACATACATGTAGAGACAAAAATCATACAGAGTGATGCCATCTTACTTTTCAAGGTTGACTGTATTAGTTTCTTTCCTTCATGTTTTCATTCACCACATGACAATTTTCCTTTTAAAAAGGGCTAATTCTTAGCATGCCTTTTTTTAAAATCCAAAATAGCTATGAAAGTCTCTTTTTGGGGCCGTGCATGGTGGCTCACGCCTGTAATCCCAGCACTTTGGGAGGCCAAGGCAGGTGGATCATCTGAGGTCAGGAGTTTAAGACCAGCCTTGCCAACATGCTGTTGGCTACTAAAATGTAAAAATTAGCCAGGCATGGTGGCACATGCCTGTAATCCTAGCTACTGGGGAGGCCGCGGTAGGAGAATTGTTTGAAACCAGGAGGCAGAGGTTGCAGTGAGCCAAGATCACACCACTGCACTATAACCTAGGCAATAGGGCAAGACTCCCATCTCAAAAAAAAAAAGTAAAATAAAAAGTCCCTTTTTGGGAACCAAGTATATTTAAAAAATGTCTCTCTCTCAAATCTACTCTGGGCTTTTTTTTTTCACTAACACTATACAATAAAATATAAGTGACTCTATTCGTAAGCTTACCTCTTTTGATAATTCACTTCTTTCTCTTGTTTGAATTATGTGAGAGGCTTCAAGTATTTCATGTTTTCTCCTAAGCTCACTTACTTCTTGTTCAAATGCATCACGTTCACTATTAAAATAAAATTCAAATAGACATGTAATTTTGCATCCCCTTTTACAGTAAACATTTTTAAAGGGTTGACTATGTATTAGGACACTAGCAATGGGGCTTGAGTGTAATTCGATTAACTATAAAGTATCTATTTTTCAGATTTAGAAGGGACCCTATTTCGGATCTTGTTCAGATACATAAATACCAATTTATTACTTTAAAGGAATAAATACATAAACTACATAAGCCAGTACATAATAAAACTAACTAAGGTACATTTGGTATTTCTTCACTAGTCATCTTCAATCTTATCTTAAGGTCAAAACTTTTAAAGAATGTATACATGGCTCTAGGCTTTCAGTTCAGTTAAGGTCAAAAAACACTCACAACTTATCATTTAGATTGCACAGAGATACACAAGCAGGCATTCTTGTGACCATTTCATTCACAAATTGTTTATAATTACTCAGATTTTAATTTCTATTTTAAAGCAAGTTCCCCAAAAAAGTAATACCAAGAATTGGATTAAAACCTACAACAGACATTTTTAAAAATGAGCAGAGAAATCAATTTACTAACTCTTAACTACTTCTCTGCAGTCAGAAGCAGTGCCTTTGCACTTTATTTCACTGACCCACCTGGTATTTCCAAAGAGAGGGCTGTTAGGAATTGTTTTCTTTTGCATCAGCTTTTCAAAAACTTTTAGAAAGCCTTTTTATCTTCTGGTTAACAAAGTATTATGTTTACTGAAGAAAAACTGAGCAAAGCACAACATAACAATCACCTACAAACCCAATAAGTAAAGATGACTATCAGTATTAATATTCTGATGCACATTACAAGTACTTTGTGCTTTTTTATTTTTAAAATGTTTATTCTTAATTTTAAAACATTTTTAAGTTTTATTGTGTGCTTTTACATGCAATTTTTATAAAATCTTTTTTTTTTTTTTTTTTAATGAGATGAGGGTCTCGCTATGTCACCCAAGCTGAACTTGAACTACTGCACTCAAGTGATCCTCTAGCCTCAGCCTGCCAGATAGCTAGGACTACAAGTGTATGCCGCTGTGTGCCTGGCTAATTTAAATTTTTTTTTTTTTTTTTATAAAAATGGTCTTGCTATGTTGCCCCGGCTAGTCTTGAACTCCTGGGCTCAAGTGATCCTCCTGCCTGGGCTTCTGAAAACACTGACATGCTGCACCCCGCCTGGGTCTTTTTAATAGTTTTACTTACCAACTGTTAATACTGTTGTATTTGTTTTGTAATATTAACTAAATATTACTTTGCCATATTTATTCAATTCCTCTTGTTAATATATGTGAATGAATATGTGCAGTTGTCTAACAGTATATGTGGAGAATGGTTCCAGACCCATCCCTACAACCTGAATATGCAAATCTGTACATACTGAAGTCCGCAGTTGTGCAGATCCCACCGAAAAGTCAGTCCTCGATATATTCAGGTTTCACATCCTGTGAATGGTGTATTTTCTTTCGATTGGTGTCAGGTTGATAAAAACCCAAATATAAGCAGACCCCGTGTTGGTCAAGGGTCATGTATCTATACGTGTATATACACCTACATACACATACTCATACATGTGCATTTGTTTCCTCAACTGAGACATTAGGTCCTTTTACCCCCTAAATAATTCAGTGTAAATTTCCTAAGATTAAAGATAGTCTCATATAATCACAGTACAATTAGCACATTCAGGACTTAGCCCTAATACAGTATTATTATATAACATACAATTCATTTTCAAATTTTGTCAACTGTCTCTCAAAACGAACTTTGTGAAATTTTTTTTCCCTCAGCCAAGGTTTTAGTCTCCTTTAACCTTGAAGAGTTCTTAGTTTTCCTTGTGTTTTATGACTTTTTATAGAGCGCAGGCTAACTGCATCATAGAATGTCCCTCAATTTTCACTTGTCTGAAGTTTCTTCATGATTAGATTTAGGTTAGGCATTTGGGCAGGAATAAGGAATACCACAGAAATGATAATGCATTCTCAGTATATCATACTAAGATGTACTGAGGCATGTAATGTTAGCTTATCCCATTACTGGTGATAGGAACTGGTCACTAGGTTAAAGTAGTATCTGCCGCAGTTTAACTATAAAGCTACCTTTTTGAACTTTAAAATTAGTAAGTAATCCGTGAAGAGATACTTTGTGTAAGTATCTTATTCCCTAACATACTTACATTAGATAGTTTTAGATTCCAATGATCATTCTGAATCAATATTACTATGCAGCTACAAAATGGTCATTCTTACATGCACATACATTTGTTGGCTGGCATTCAATTGTAAAGATCCTCTTTCCCAAAAAGGATATAAATATTACCACTGAACTGTACACTTAAAAATGGTAAAGATGATATATTAAAAAAATTTAAGATCCTCTTTCTGTATTTATTATTAGCCTGTACTTATAAATTCTTACTCCATTCGATGAGCTGTAATTCATTATTGTCAATATTTATTTTGATATTCAGGTTTGCTATATTTAGCCAGTTGGCACCTCTTTAAACTGGTTGTTGCGGTGTTGAATTGGAATTTGAAGTATCAATGTGGGTTGGACATGGTGGCTCAGGCCTGTAATCCCAGCACTTTGGGAGGCTGAGGCAGGCAGATCACGTGAGGTCAGGAGTTTGAGACTAGCCTGGCCAACCATGGCCAACATGGTGAAACCATGTTTCTACTAAAAAAAAAAAAAAAAATACAAAAAAATTAGCCAGTCATGCCTGTAGTGGTGCATGCCTGTAGTCCCAGCTACTTGGGAGGCTGAGGCAGGAGAATCTCTTGAACTTGGGAGGCTGAGTTTGCAGTGAGCCAACATTGCGACAGTGCACACCAGCCTGGGCGACAAAGTGAGACTCCGTCTCAAAAAAAAAATCAGTATGATGTCATCTACAGTGTGTTAAGCCTCCTCCCCCTTCTCCCTCCACTGTCTCTACCAACTGAAGGGCCTAGAAATAATGGCCAATGTAGCCATGACCACAACACCCAAATCTTAATTTCTAAATAGGATTCCCCACTAAGAGATCAAGACTCCTTAGACAAAGAGCTGAGGCAATGAAATTACAAAACAAACAAAAACCAAAACTAGGAACATTACGTTATGCCAGAAAATAAGGGACAGCTAAATAAAAAGATACATTCATATCTAATTTAATGATTTTACCTGCTACATAAAATTATATTGCAGAAGAAATCTCAATTTATCTTCCATTCTGCTACTGAAAAGCATTTGAATTTCTTCTAATAATGACACAATTAACATCCATACAACTGTTCCCTTTTGTATATTTGTGAGACTTTAACCAGGGCATAAAAGTACTTTTTTTTCTTCACTTTATCTTATATTTCATGACCTGTCTATGTTTTTAAACTCATTCATGGCCGGGCGCGGTGGCTCAAGCCTGTAATCCCAGCACTTTGGGAGGCCGAGGCGGGTGGATCACGAGGTCAAGAGATCGAGACCATCCTGGTCAACATGGTGAAACCCCGTCTCCACTAAAAATTACAAAAAATTAGCTGGGCATGGTGGCGCGTGCCTGTAATCCCAGCTACTCAGGAGGCTGAGGCAGGAGAATTGCCTGAACCCAGGGGGCGGAGGTTGCGGTGAGCCGAGATTGCGCCATTGCACTCCAGCCTGGGTAACAAGAGCGAAACTCCGTCTCAAAAAAAAAAAAAAAAAAAAACAAACAAACAAACAAAAAAAACTCATTCATTCTACTCAGTGAACCAAAAAGGGTCATAATTTGAGTCCTTCTTTCTTGTTTTGCTATTCCATTCCTAGCCATAAAGATGCTTATCATGCATTTTGATCAAGGCTATATTTTTCTTTTCTAAGTTTTTATTATCATAAATGAAAACATATGTAAAAACAGAGATGATATAATAACACCCACGCTCCCATCACCTAACTTCAATAATGATCAACTCATGACTCATCTTGTTTCATTCATCATTCACGGCCCTGGTGGATTATTCTGATGACTATGTTTTTAGTTTTCTCTTTTTATATTGTATCCGTCATTGCTATAGACTTACAGTGGAAAAGGGGACATCAAAATACCAACTAGTATCATCTTACCATCACTATTTATTTCATTTTTATTTTTATTTTATATTTTTAAGAGATGGGGTTTCACTCTGTCACCAGGCTGGAATGCAGTGGCATGATCACAGCTCACTGTAGTCTTGAACTCCTGGGCTTAAGCAGTCCTCCCACCTCAACCTCCCAAGTACCTGGGATTAAAGGCATGTGCCCCTATGATCTGTACTTCATTTTTAAATGCTTGTTTTAAACTCCAGCTTTATTCCAGAGCCCACTGACCACAGCTCTCATGGATTTAAAGCTCCAATAATTATCACATTTTGGCATAATGCTAATACATAGTAAGACATACTATGTGTCAGTCATAATGGGAATAGAAATGCCAATCTCCTATCCACAAATATTTGCAAATTCACATATTATGTAATTTATAATTAAAATTACGCAATTTAAAGAATTTAAGAATTATTTCAGGTGGAGTGAACAATTAAGATAAAAGGTCATTCCATTTATATTACAAATACAGTACATATACAAGTAAAGGCTTTCATAAATATTTATTTGATCTTAGATTATATAGTGCAGTTATCCAGATTAGCAACATCTCATAAATGATGAAACTTAAGCTTGCAAAGAAGAGAGATTTATCGAGGGACATACAGCTAAGTAGTGGCTCATTAAATTACTGAACAAACAACAAAAAAGAATATTCCAGTTAAACAAAGATATTTGCTATAGCTTCTTAGTAGCAAATATTAGGAAATACATTCTCAGAAAGTGTTTTTTTTTTTTTTAAAGTGTATCTTTTGTCAGGAAGGAACAGCTGAAAAAAACTTCAGAGAAAAATGTAAGTATTTACATTGATTCCATTACATAAAAATAATCATCAAGTAACATTGAAAAAATATTTGCACATGTGATTTTACTGGGTTCCTATCTTTGTTTACATTTTAAGACAGCAGTGACATCTAAATAAAACAAAAACAATCAATATAAAAATTCAGTATAAACCCAACAAACTGCCAAAACTGCATGCATTTGTGCAAAGAAGAATAAGGTAAAAGTAAAATTAACAATTGGTTGTTGGTAAAAACTCAGGTGACTCTGATGCAAGCTAAAGTGAAAAACTACTAGAGCAGCCATTTTAACTGCTTACCTCTTGACTTTATCATAGTTCTCTTGACGGTAGTCACCTTGCTGAATTAACTGTTTTGTGTCTGCTAATTCTAAGGCCAAACGTTGACATCTAATTTGAACTTCTGAGTAGTTTTTTCGATCTTCCTCATATGTCTATAAATCAAAGGAATAATAACACATTTCAGACTAAACACTTAACATAGTTGATTAAATTCTGTATTAAAGTCTTTTGTCAAGCTGTGATTGTCCTTGTAATTAAACAACAACAATAAAAATCCTCGATTTTTAAATTTAGTAAATTTTTCCTACTCAAAGGCAAGAGATATTAAATTCAGAGTGGTTTGTAAACTCAGTTGTTTAAAACCTAAACTGTTTTTCAAATAAAAAAATACAATCACTATGTTTTGGTTACTAGACTAAAATATAAAATGACTACAAATATTAAATAAATTTCTAAAAATATTTACTGAGTTACTATCAAATGCTAAAGATACAGAAGTGAATAAAACGCACTTCCCGTTCTTGAGAAGTTTATCCAGTTCCAATCTTGACATTCAGCAAAAAAAAGAAAAAAAATCGTGTGACCCTTGAAACACATCTTTACATTGTTCTTCCCTCTATCTTCTCGCCCTGCCAGTAGCACATAAGAAAGGGATTAAGGGATTGCTGATATGGGAAGAGCAGTGAACGTAAAAACCTTAAAGTTGGTCACAAGGTTCTTTAGAATCTGGTACTGCTTACTACAAGCCTCATTTCTCACTATTCCTAATAGTCACAATTCACCTTGCAACCCTAATGAGAATCTGAAGTTCTCTGAACCCACCAATGCTGCTTCTAACCTGTTCCCACTGCCTGAATACCTGCATAAAATCTAAATGCTTGTCTCCTTCACAGCATTGATCTCACTGTATCATTACCATCGGATTAGTTTTCTATCGCACCAGAGTGTAAACATCTTAAAGGCAGGGACTTTGTCTTGCTCAATGCTGGACCTCCACCACTTTAAACATTACCAGGTATATAAGAATGAAATAAAAGCTAACAAAGAAATAATTAAATATGAAAATGGGGACAAGAAGAAGGAGACAGGTACTAAATTCCTCCTTATTTTCCTTCTTTGAACTCATCAAATTTTGCGACCAACCATCAACCCCGCCTTCAGAAGCTGGCATGTTAAATGCATCCTGTGTTAAGTCATTATTGCTTAAGTAGCTGACCAGCTACTTGCACACATACTGCACACATACTGACTAGATCATTTCCATGTGACTGGTCCCGGATTAGGCACTATAGATACAAAGACAAGTAAGATAGTTTTGTCCTTTTTAAACTATTAAATATAATTTTGATATTTTAGTCCCCAAATTTATATCAAAGGGCTATTTGAGAGAATTATGGAAAAGCCATATTCAGTGTATGTTGCTTTGGTATGGTATCATGTTCTTCCACACTGAAGTTTTCCATGAGAATGGAATGTTACTATGGTATTTATTATGGGATTACCTGAAGAATCATCAAATATATCATTTCAGACCTAAATCCTACAAGAATCTTTAGTTCTTCTGAAGAATGCTTTATCCTTCTAAACACCATTAATCATGCAACCGTTTAGAAGAGGGTATAATGTTATGGGTAGGAAGGCAAGCTCCAGAATTCAACTGTCTAAAATTGAATTCCTACAGTAAGACTCTCTGGGCAGGTTAGTTTACCTCTCCATTCTGGTGTCCTACCTCATAGTTCTTGTGAAGCTTATATCAAGTTATACATGTAAAGTGCTTATAAAAATGCCTAACATGTAGTAAATGCTGATTAACTATAAATATTGTTATAATGCTTCCTCTTTGCTCTGGCTTACAAAGAGATCACAGACAATTAACAGTTCAACTTTATTAATTGCACAAACACCATGACAAGATTTGTAGGGACAGAAACACAAGGAATGTAAACATTAAAGGATGGGCAAAAAACAGGGATCCCCAAAAACCCAAAAAAGTATTAGCAGAAACAACCAATAAACCAGGGTGTGTGTCAGGAAGAACAGTAGAAGACAGTGCTTTGAAGTAGTCAGTAACTTTGAGAAACACTACTTATTGGTACGAAGAAATACTACCGAGAAAAAACAAAGAGCCTTTCAAGTATTCAGGGGTAGGGGCAGAAGGTAGAGTGCCAGGGACTAAAACAAATATGTATAAATACTCAGTATGCCCCTGTTTTTGGCTATTTTATATACATTGTCTGACTTAATAAATTTATGATGGGATATAAAAATTATCCTCAGTTTCACAGATGAAAAAAACTGAGGCCTGGAAAGTCTCAGAGCGCATAAATAGTAGAGTGAGGACTCCAATTTAAGTTTGTCAAATACCAATCAGTCGAAAACTCTTTCTACAGCTTAATAGTAAAAGGGGAGAAAGTGCAGTAGTTAGAGAAGAAAATAGGGCCAATGAAGGTTTTAAAAGATGAAACAAGCTTGACAATATTCAAATATTGACGGGAAACAACTAACAGCAAAAGATGAATTACTGTTGGAGAAAAGGGGCTGCATTCAGGAGAATGAAGCATAATCTTGAATAAGGCTACAGGAGATGGGATCCACAGTTTAGATGTGGAGATTAGTCTTAGATCTGAAGCCGTGTTCATCAAGGCAGACTTTTTTCCAGCTGATACAGAGTATTAACAACTTGAATATTTTAGATAGCTCTTATCAATTTGCTACAGGCCACAGCCTACTCTTACCCTAAGGCTTCACAAATTTATATTATCCACCTGGTTTCTAGAGGCATATGACTTTTTCACCCCTTGAGGGTAAGACTCTTTCCATTACAAACAGCAAGAACAAACAAACCAGAATGAGTGCAGATGTGAGTAGATTTGGTGGCAGGACAAAGTTCTCATCTGAGGATTTCCATTTTCTCTGTGAAATGAAACACTAAGTCATCTACTGAGAGTGACAAGAAACATGGAAAACTGGAGATGTTAAGCAGAGTGGTTGGTTCCCTTAAGTAACCTCTGTGAAAAATGAGAGAACTAGAAATAATAGAATTACAACCATTTAAGGCTGGTAACAATAAACTGACAGTGCTTGTTACTGCTTGTGTGATTTTTGCCAGTAGTGCTCAGTTAGGAAAATAAAGAGTTGAGAGTTTCTCAGTCTGGTTTGAAGACTGAAAACATAATGGTGAGGGGAAAAAAAAATAAATCTAGGAAAGAATTGATAAAGAAATAAATTATATGGGTTGGAAATTTTATTAAGGACAGGTTGAAAGCCATGATGGGAAAACATAAAAACACAGGAAACAGGATGTTCAGTGGATCAAAGTGAATTGATAACTTCAGAAGTAAATTGGTTCTGGGGACCAAATCTGGGCTATAAGACTGAGTGTTAAAATGGAAAAAAGGCAAATCACTAGAGATGAGATCAATAAAATTCAAGGCCAAGGCTACAGATGAATTAATCACAGAAGTAACCTAGGTAGCAGCTGAAGTGGAAAGGAAGACTAAATCTAGAGCTTTATTGAAGCTCTAAACTTTAGACGGCTTTCACTAAACAAAGAGAAATGTCCCAGTAGTCTGAAAATGAGGAAGACTATAAGGTGGGGTTATCCAGATGATGAGTTCCCAAAGAAGTAGTGTTTTCTGTGAGTGCAACTGCAAAGATCTAAAAAGGTAAAGATCTGACCCTGAAATATGTAGACTATTTCAGGATATTCAGAGAGTAGTTCCATGGGAGAATAAATATAGTGCATATTATTAATATTATATATATAGCATATATGTCATATATGTTTTTATATATCCAGACATTTTTAAAAAATATAAATACCATATGCAAGTATAAACAATCAAGTATAAGTGCAGTATAGGAATGTATACATTCGACTAGCCCTTTATTTACATTTTTTCAACCGGAAAATTTCCCCTTAAATAAAATTATTACTTTTGTATTGTGAATTTTAAAATCTCCTGCACTTATTGTTAGCAATTAAAATACAGTAAGACATAACCCTAGAAACAGGAAAAGTAGCATCTGCCTTCAAAATAAACCCATGTCTGTGTAGAACCATGATTAAAGCTATAGAGAGCAGAAAAGACTGTTTTGTATTCCCCTCTGCATCCTTCCATGTCTTGAGCTCAGCATCCATTTTTGTGAGAAGACTAAGCTTTGGCTCTAAGCTAGAGTTTATCCTATTTTTTCACAACGTGTGATTCTTACCTGTCAGAAAATGCACCATATGTGCTATAAGGAGCTGTTACTTGTCTCCCACATCATAAGGAAAAATTTAAGGAAGTTTTCTATGATCCTAGTAACTAATACTCTGCCTATATATAGAATAGTTGCAATTAATGTCTGTGGAAGAGGAGGAACAAAAGAGGACATTAAATAGATTAAACAAAAGCAGCAAAAAAGGTAAACTTTTCAAACATAAAGAAATAGACACACAAAATTTCCATTTATCAGCCCTTTCTAACAGAAAATTTCTATGTACTAGTAAATGTGCCAATAGCCAAGTATAAATTTCCATTCTCAATAAAACACAATTACTATGAATATAATAAATTTCTGAGCTTCCTTTTAAGTCTTTCATCTCTCACATAATGTAAACTGAGAATAGTAACCTATGTCTCAAAATAAATATTTAATAAATGAAGATCTCCTGCCCGTGTAGAGATAGGACAACTAAAGAAACTGGAAATAGGATATAGTGACATTTACCTTAAGGTTCAAATCTGAAACAGTTTACATTGAACAGTTCAGCGAATGGTAAGAAATGGTTGGCTATTCTGGAAAAGTGAGAATTCACTTGTTTGAATTCCCACAAGTTTCATTTTTAATAATCTAATCTAAGCAACTAAATACTGAAAAGAACAAGAAACCTAATTAAACTTTAACTGCTATAGGCTGTCCCTTTAAGTCACAATGAAGTCTGTTTTGCTGCCAGAGACAACTCTTGCCATTAAGATCTTTGAGAAATTAAAAAAAAAAATCTTTCTAACTTCTAAAGACAAGAATGGAAGTAGTAAAGTCTGCTATGCATTAAAATGAAAATCTTAATTACTGTTACATGCTAAATTTTCAATTATATCTATTTGAATAAATGGAATTCAAACAAAAATTTAAGCCTTTTTTTAAAAAAAGAAAAAAGACTCAGTAA